CCTTGTTCTTTTTGTCTTAGGATTGCTTTAGCTATTTGGGGTCTTTTGTTCCCCCATATGAGTTTGAGGATTCTTTGTTCTATTTCTGTGAAGAATGTCATTGGGATTCTGATTGGGATTGCCTTGAATCTGTAGATTGCTTTAGGTAGTATGGACTTTTTAACTCTATTTATTCTTTCAATCTGTGTGCGTGGAATATCATTCCATTTATGTCATCACTGATTTCTTTCAATAATGTCTTATAGTTTTCATTGTATAGGTCTTTCACCTCCTTGGTTAAATTTATTCCTAGGTATTTTATTTTTTCCATGGGATTGTATTCTTGATTTCTCTTTCCATTAGTTTGTTATTAAAGCATAGAATGCAACTGATTTTTCTAGGTTGATTTTGTACCCTGCAACTTTGCTGTAGTTGTTGATTATTTCTATTAGTTTTCCAATGAATTCTTTAGGGTTTTCTGTATATAGAGTCATGTCATTTGCAAGCAGTGAGAGTTTTGCTTGTTCCTCACCAATTTGGATACCTTTTATTTCGTTTTCTTGCCTAATTGCTCTGGCCAAAACCTCTAGTACTTTGTTGAATAGGAGTGTCAAGAGTGGGCACCCTTGTCTTCTTCCTGTTCTCAGAGGGATTGCTTTGAACAACTTTTTTTTTTTTTTTTTTTTAAGATTTTATTTTTTTCCTTTTTCTCCCCAAAGTCCCCCGGTACATAGTTGTATATTCTTCGTTGTGGGTCCTTCTAGTTGTGGCATGTGGGACGCTGCCTCAGCGTGGTCTGATGAGCAGTGCCATGTCCGCACCCAGGATTCGAACCAACGAAACACTGGGCCGCCTGCAGCGGAGCGCGCGAACTTAACCACTCGGCCACGGGGCCAGCCCCTCAGAGGGATTGCTTTGAGTTTTTCACCATTGAGTATGATGTTGGCTGTGGGTTTGTCATATATGGGCTGTATTATGTTGAAGTACCTTTGTTCTGTACCCATTTTATTGAGAGTTTTTATCATAAATGGATGTTGGATCTTGTCAGATGCTGTCTCTGTGTCTATTGAGATGATCATGTGGTTTTTATTCCTCATTTTGTTAATGTGGTGTATCACATTGACTCATTTGTGGCTGTTGAACCATCCCTGTGTTCCTGGTATGAATCCCACTTGATCCTGGTGTATGATCCTTTTAATGTATTGCTGTATTCGATTTGCCAATATTTTGTTGAGGATTTTTGCATCTATATTCATCAGTGACATTGGCCTGTAATTTTCCTTCTTTTTTGTTGTCCTTGTCTGGCTTTGGGATCAGGGTGATGTTGGCCTTGTAGAATGAGTTAGGAAGTGTTCCATCTTCCTCAATTGTTTGGAATAGTTTGAGAAGGGTAGGTATTAAATCTTCTTTGAATGCTTGGTAGAATTCCCCAGAGAAGCCATGTGGTCCTGGACTTTTATTTTTGGGAGGTTTTTGATTGTTGTTTCAATCTCTTTCCTTGTGATTGGTCTATTCAGATTCTCTATTTCTTCTTGATTCAGTTTTGGGAGGTTGTATGAGTGTAAGAATTTATCCATTTCTTCTAGATTGTCCAGTTTGTTGGCATGTAGTTTTTTATAGTATTCTCTTATAATCCTTTGTTATTCTGTGATATTGGTTGTAATTTCTCCCCTTTCATTTCTAATTTTATTTATTTTAGCCTTCTCTCTTTTTTTCTTATTGAGTCTGGCTAAGGTTTTGTCAATTTTGTTTATCTTCTCAAAGAACCAGCTCTTGGTTTTGTTGATCCTTTCTACTGTTTTTTTCATTTCTGTTTCATTTATTTCTGCTCTAATTTTTCTTATTTCCCTCCTTCTGCTGACTTTGGGCTTTGTTCTTTTTTTTTCTAGTTCTGTTAGTTGTAGTTTAAGATGACTTATTTGAGATTTTTCTTGTTGTTGTTTTCTTGTTGTTTAAGGTGGGCCTTTATTGCTATGAATTTCCCTCTTAGGACTGCTTTTACTGCATCCCATATGAGTTGCTATGGTGTATTTTCATTTTCATTTGTCTCCAGATATTTTTTGAATTCTCCTTCAATTTTTTCAATCATCCTTGTTGTTCTAGTCTCCACATATTGGTCACTTTCTCAGCTTTTTTCATGTAGTTTATTTCTATTTTTATAGTATTATGATCAGAAAAGATGCTTGACATGATTTCAATCTTAAATTTATTGAGGCTTGCCTTGTTTCGCAACATATGGTCTATCTTTGAGAATGTTCCATTTGCATTTGATAAGAATGTGTATTCTGCTGTTTTTGAATGAAGTGTTCTCTCTCTGTGTATCTATTAAGTCCATCTGGTCTAGTTTTTCATTTAATTCCACTATTTCCTTATTGACTTTCTGTCTGGATGATCTATCCATTGATGTGAGTGGGGTGTTGAGGTCCCCTACTATTATTGTGTTGTCATTGATATCTCCTTTTAGGTCTGTTAATAGTTGCTTTATGTACTTTGGTGCTCCTGTGTTAGGTGCATGTATATTTATAAGTGTTATGTCCTCCTGGTGGAGTGTCCCTTTTTTCATTATATATTGCCCCTCTGTGTCTCTCATTGCCTTTTTTATCTTCAAGTCTACTTTGTCTGATATAAGTATGGCAACACCTGCTTTCTTTTGTTTGCTGTTAGCTTGTAGTATCATCTTCCATCCCTTCACTCTGAGCCTCCATTGGTCTTTAGAGCTGCAATGTGTTTCCTGGAGGCCACACATTGTTGGGTCTTGTTTTTTAATCCATCCAGCCACTGTGTGTCTTTTGATTGTAGAGTTCAATCCATTTACAGTTAGGGTGATTATTGATATATGAGGGCTTAATACTTCCAGTTTATCACTTGTTTTCCAATTGTACAGTATTTCCCTTGTTTCTTTCCCATGTGTTTCTGACTGCCAATTAAGTTTGGTCGTTCTCTATGATGGTTTTCACTTTATTTATCATTTGTGTCTCTGTTCTGATTTCTTGTTTAGTAGTAACCATGATGTTTATGTAAAATATCTTGTAGATGAGATAGTCCATTTTCTGATAGCCTCTTATTTCCTTAGTCTAAGCAGGTTTCATCCCTTTCCTCTTCCCCTTCTAAGTTATTTTTGTCACAACTTATTCAGTTTTGTGTTGTGAATTTGTGATTAAAATGAAGTCATTATAGTTATTTTTAATGCTTTCCTTCCTTTTATCTTTAATGTTATAATTAAGTGTTTGCTAACCTTTTGTGATAGAGAGCTGAAATTTTCTGATTTTGTCTGTCTATTTATCTCCTTGCACAAGGCTTTGTAAACCCCTTCTTTTTTTTCAGGTATGAGGCCTTCTTGATCATTTCTTCCTGGAGGGGGATATCTTGTGGCAATGAACTCCGTCAGCTTTTGTTTATCTGGGAAAGTTTTTATTTCTCCATTGTATCTGAAGGATATTTTCACTGGATAGAGTATTCTTGGCTGAAAGTTTTTGTCTTTATATCATTCCATTCTCTCCTAGCCTGTAAGGTTTCTGCTAAAAAATTCCACTGAAAGCCTGACAGAGGTTCCTTTGTAGGTTATTTTCTTCTGCCTTGCTGCCCTTAATAGTTTTTCTTTATCATTAACTTTTGCCACTTTTACTAAAATATGCCTTGGAGAAGGTCTTTTTCATTGATGTAGTTAGGAGTTCTATGAGCTTCATTTACATGTAATTCCAGCTCCTTTCCAGGTTTGGGAAGTTCTCAGCTATTATATTTTTGAACAAGCTCTCTGCTCCTTTTTCCCACTCTTCTCCCTCTGCAATACCTATAATCCTTATGGTGCATTTCCTAATTGAGTCGGATATTTCTTGGAGAATTTCTTCATTTCCCTTTAGTCTTGGTTCTCTCTCCTCCTCGATCTGCAGCATTTCTATATTTCTGTCTTTTAATTTATTAATTCTGTCCTCTATAATATCAGCTCTGTTTTTTTAATGATTTCAGATTTTTCTTTATCTCCTTCACTGTGTTTTTCATCTCCAACACTAGTGATTGCTTTTTTTTCATAGTTTCAATCTCTTTTGTGAAGTATTCACTCTATTGGTTAATTTTATTCCTAAGACCTTTGAACTATCTTTCTGAATTTTCTTGTAATTCATTGAATTTCTTTATGATACCTGTTTTTAATTCTCTGTCATTTAGACTGTAAATTTCTGTGACTTCAGGATTGATTTCTGAGTACTTGTAATTTTCCTTCTGATCTGGAGTGTTAATATACTTCTTTGTACTATTTGATGGGGTGGACATTTGCCATTGCATACTCGTAGTATCTGGTTCCAGATTCCACCTGCCACCACTTGGGGGAGCAAGAGCTATGTTTTCTGAGCCTGCTGCAACCTCTGGCAGATGTTCCTGTCCGTTGGAAGCTATGTTGACAGGGCCCATCTCTGTTTGCCCTCTGGCTGCTGCTGCTTTACATACGTATGCACATGTGCTTTGGTGGGGATATCCTGCTCTGGCCAACTGGCCTAGCTGGTGCGTGGGGGTAGCGGGTGGTAGGGTAGAGGTACTGTCTTTTGCATGTGCGATCCCCCATGCTCCCACTCTACACTCACTGTCTGCCTGCCCTGGCTGCTCAGTTTTGTGTGGACGCCCCCATGATTGCTTAGCCTCCTTGGTGTAGAGGCTCCCGACAGGCTGGGAGGCAATTCTGAGACTGCAGGCATTCCCATGGGGGGCTGCCTTTTTCCCCTTCTCCTCTCGGAGTCCCACACTGGCTGCCATGTGAGGTCCAGCACCCTAGATCACTGCCGCTTGGGAGGGAGAGGAGATCCACTTAGCTCCTTCCACTGCCTCCTGGGGGCATCTGGCAGACCCACCTTCAGATGTATGGCTGTGTGGATCTCTCAAATGGCTGTTGTGTCATGTGAATGTCCTCTGTTGGTTTATAAATGTCCTTTTTGTTGTATCTTAGGAGGGAGAGAATAAGAGATGAGCTCACTCTGCCATGATGCTGATGTCACTCCTCTGAAATTCTTTCTTTGAAATTTTTTCAACAGGACTGTTTTGCCAGATTCTAAATGACAACTTTTAAGTCAGAGCCTTGAAATCTATAGAAGTCCAGTATATTCTGAGGTATATTGCATACTAATGGACAGCAGCAAGAGATACATCTGGTGGACTAAAAAGATCCAGTGAAAATTAAAAGACACAACACTCAGAACAACTGATAGGTAAATAACTTATATATAATAATTGTAAAATTTTTATGAGAGAAAAACAATGAACATGACTGATTATATGAAAAGAACTTTGCCATAGACTGAATATTTATGTCCCCTGAAATTTATTTATTTATTTATTTATTTTAAGATGTTTTTATTTTTCCCTTTTTCTCCCAAAGCCCCCCAGTACATAGTTGTGTATTTTTAGTTGTGGGTCCTTCTAGTTGTGGCATGTGGGATGCTGCCTCAGCATGGCTTGATGAGCAGTGCCATGTCTGTGCTGAGGATTCAAACTGCTGAAACCCTGGGCCGCTGAAAAAGATCACACGAACTTAAACACTGGCCACAGGGCCAGCCCCTGTCCTCCTAAATTTGTATGTTAAAACCTAATTCCTAGTGTGATGGTATTTGGAGGTGTGGCCTTTGGGAGATGATTAGATCATGAGGGCAGAGTCCTCATGGATGGGATTAGTTCCCTTTTGAAGGAGTCCATAAGACCTCCCTTACCCCTTCCACCATGTGAGGACACAGTGAAAAGACAGCTGTCTATGAACTAGGAAGTAGATTCTTGCCAGACACTGAATCTGCCAGTGGCTTGATCTTGGACTTCCCAGGCTTCAGAACTGTGAGAAATAAATATTTGTTGTTTAAGCCACCAAGACTATGGTGTTTTAGTTATAGCAGTCCGTATGGACTAAGACAGACTTTGAAAGTTTAGCATAGTAACTTTAGGGAAATTGGAAAACAAACAAAATTCCATAGAAGCAGACTTTTTTTTCATAGAACAATGCTGTAAATAATGTCTTGTTCACTAGGATAGGCTACATAAACCTATTTGAACTATAATATAGCTGAAATATTTATCATTTGCAGTAAGACTGTTGTGGTACTAAAAGTAAAAGAAAAAAATTTATGTTTTATTATTTTTAATATTTTTGAAAAATTATGTAGAGTTCTTTAGAAGATGAAGAAGGAGGTAGATGGAGACATAGCTGTTTTTAAGGAGTAAATGGTTAATGACAGAGGTTAATTTTTCTAACTTTTTACCATGGAAGCTTGAATATATATACACAAATAGACAGAATAGTGAATGTGGATACCATGTGCTTAATAGGGAAGTAATAATTTGTTGGCAAGAAAAAGTTGGATCAAAGGTTCCTCCATTAGTCACCAGGTGACAGTAGTGGCTTGAGATAGCATAGTAGCTATTAGATTTGAGTTCTGGAGGAGTGGAAGGAGCTGGAGTTGTGACCATGTAGACTGCATTGATCCATGGACTGAGTAAATAGACACGAACTAAAACGTTGCAGACCAGTGATTGATTCTGGAAGTAGGTAGCATAGGATTCCTGTGTTTGCTTGTTTCTTCTTTTACCTGTGGTTATTATTAACTGTAGATATTTTGCTTGGTTTCTTGTTTAGTGTAAAAATTACATGAATTTTATATTTTGTATGACTTTTAGAGAGTTACTGGTACTGGGAAAACTTAGTGTAATTTTTTAGGAATAAAGTATGATTTCCCTAAGTAAGTTTATTCTAAATGTATTATCTATATGAAATAAATTTTTTTGTTTATATTGTGAGGTGGGGCTATCAGCATAAGGCAATGTGGTGTGTAAGAAAAATCCTGAATCAAAAGTCAGAAAGCCTAGGGTCATTATTACTTATTACTTATCACTTATTACTGTGTATCCTTGAGCAAATCACTTGTCTTTCTGGATCTCAGTTTTTACATTTGTAAAATGAGAAGTTTGAACTAAATGATTTCTAAGGTCCTTGAAAGTGGCAGCATGATACAGTGGAAAGAACATTGCTTTTAAAATCAGACTCATCTGGTTTTCATTCATTCAGCAAGTGTTTATCGAGAGCTATATTGTGCCAGCCACTGGAAATACTAATTAACAATGTAAATAAGTTAACTAATTGTCTCTACATTTATGGAGCTTATATTCTATTTTGGTAGACAACAGCAAAAGACAAATACATAAAACAACTACAAAACCTAATAAGTGCCAGAAGGAAACAAACAAGGGACTCTTGATAGAGTGGCTTGGGACTGCCTCTTTGAGGTAGTGACTCAGGATGAAAAGGAGCTAGTTAAGTAATTAATGGGGGAGTGTTTTAGCTAGAGGGGACAGCATCTTAAAAAGCCTTGAAGCTGAAAAGAGCTTAGTGTGTCCTGGCTGCTAAAAGACCAGTGTGAATTAGAGTGTAGTGAAAAGAGGGGAGAGTGGCATAAGATGAGATTGGAAAGATAAGTAGAGTTTTGTAAATCAGGATATGGAGTTTGGATTTATCCTATGTGCAATAGTAAGCCATTGTGGGGTTTTTAGCAGAAGAGTGATTGATTTGATGTTTTAAGAAGCTCACTCTTGTTACAGTATAGAGAATGGATTAGAGGAGGTTCAAAAGTAGATGTGAAGCTATTGCATAGTACAGGTGAGAAATAGTGAGGACCTGAGTTAATGTGGTAGTGGTGGAGATGAAGAGATGTGGAACAATTTAAGATATATTTTAGAGGTAGAAACAGCGAGACTTGCTGATGGATTGGATATTGGGGATGATGGGAAGGAAGGAATAAAAAATGGTTCTTAAGTTTCTGGCTTGAACAAGCAATGGACAGAATTTCTGTTTTCTCAAACGGGAGCAGATGGACAGATTTGGGTGGGTAGATATAATGATTTATTTTTGATTTCTTCTTTGGACACATAAAGTTTACAGTGTCTTTGAGATGTTTAGGTGGCGGTGTCAAGAAGCAGAGTAGACAATGAGATCTTCAAACTTGAAATTCATATAAGTCAGGGCCAGAGATACATATCTAGGAGTCATCTGCATAAGGATAGTATTTAAATCCATGGGGATGGATGAAATAATCCAGGAAAAGAGACAAGTCTCAGAGGGCTTTGGCCTGAGTCTGAGGAATCCTAGAACTTATAGGTCGGGTACAAGAGGTAGATTCAAGAGTGGAGGCTAAGAGGTAGTGGCTAGTGAGGATGGAATAAAACAGGAGAGTATGGTATTTGGAGGCCTAGAAATCAGTGTTTCAAGAAGGAGGGAATTGTTGATCGTGTTGAATGCTGATGAGAAATGAAGTTAAGGCGGGCACAGAGAAATGACCACTAGAGTTGGCAACATTTGATTTGAATTCTGGCTCTGCTCCTTAATGCAATGGGACTTTGAACACTTCATTTCACATCATTGAGTCTCAGTTTTCTCATATTCAGAAAAGGGAATAGCAGTACTTCTCTCACTTGGTTATTGTGAACTAGGTGATGAACTAACATGCGTTTCCCTGGAACAGAGCCTGACAAACTTAGGATGCTCAGTTGATATTGATTCCTTTCTTTTCTGGGTCTGTGATGCCTTTTGAAACTTTAAATAGAGTATACCTATCCTTTGCTTAAAGATGTTAATTTGTTTTTGAAAATTCTGCTGTTTAGTGAAAAGCTATAACATAAAAAATATTTCCATTAATTTTAATGGTAAAAATTAAGATATATTTCATCCCAACCCAAGATACCCAAACTCTTTTCACAGAGAGAAAAATATGTCACTTGAGGAATAATGAAAACAAGTTTTTATAAATAATAGATAACATTTGAAAGTAAGCAAATGTAGATTATACATAAACCGTAACATAATAAAAGTTTATTGTACTTGTGGAAGGAGGAAAAGAAGAATTGATAATGGATGGTGGCGTGTGGAGGAGGAGTATGAGGTATTTATTCTTTGGAAGGTATGTTCTTCTTTCTGCACCATTTTCCTCATCAGTTTTTCAGCCTTTTAGGGGCTCATGATTATCCTGCTTTCATGTGAACTTGATATAAGATGATAGCACACTTATAGAATTGTACAAGATACTATCCCTTCATTCATTTTCTTTTTTCTTTTTCTCCCAAAAGCCCTCTGTTACATAGTTATATATTTTTTGTTGGGGGTCCTTCTTATCTCTTCATTCTTTATTGGCAAGGAAGAACATTTTGGCTCATCTAAACATGGTACACATGTAAATTTTTCCAAATGATATTCTCTGACTAGAAATTGTTATATTGACTAAATTAGTGAGTGTTTTTGCCTGAAAGTATGATATCAAAATATCACATTTTTTAGTGTATCTATTTAGTGTGTTTTTGGGTGAAAAAGTTATTCTGGAAAAAAAATATTGTCTGAAAAGTGATAAAACTTTTTCAGAGCCATTTTAAACTAGTAAGTTGCTATCTGATGTAAGTCCTTATTTACTGATCATCTTCCCCCTGCATGGCTATGTTAGTCTCTGTGAGGATAATTAAAAAGTTTATAATTTAATGAGTATCTTTCAGCAGGCAGAATTTTTAGGTAATTCTTAATTTTAAAGGAAAAATAGTGAAAAGGCAAAAGCTATTTATTAGTAGCATCTCTCTCTAATAATGTGAAATACTCTCTCAATTGAACAAAATTTGAAAGCCTAATTTGCGTTAACTGGAAATGAGAGAATCCCATTACAAAAAAATGTCGATACTTTTTTTTTTTTTTTTTTTTGGTGAGGAAGATTGGCCCCAAGGTGACATCTGTGCCAGTCTTCATCTAGTTTTTTTGTATGTGGGATGCTGCCACAGCATGGCTTGATGAGTGGTGTGTAGTTCTGTGCTCGGGATCCAAGCCTGCAAACCCTGGGCGACCAAAGCTGAGTGCACCAACTTAACCACTGTGCCACTGGGCAGGACCCAAAGGTACATTTTCAAACTATATTTTTTTAAAAAAATTTACTTTTAGTTGGCATCTGTACCCCCAAACTGGCAAACTATCCTGCAGGAAATCATAAATCCACTCTGGCAGATGGGTAGGAGTATGGATGTACCAGAGAACCACTGCCCAGACAGGTTGAATTTCCATTTCATGCCAAGCTTATCCATCTAAGGCACATGTATTTCTTAGCAAAAGTCTGAATTTCCTGCTGAAAGTCTTGGCGTAGACAAGCATAAGATCAATGAGTTCCAAGATAGGACTCTGTGTCTTGTGTATCTGTATGTAA